TGGCGCACATGCTGCGACAGGGCGCCCTTGAACTTGGATATCACAATTAACACCTCAGGGCGTTAGCTTCAGTTTCGATAAATAGGGCAGATAGCTATGGAAAATGTCAACGGTTAAAAAGAAAAGTTATGTGTCAGTTTTTTTTTAAATCGACTTCGAACTTTGAACTTTGAATCAGACGATGCGACACCCGACACATCATGTATAAAACGTTTCCAGATCATTCTAGACCGTGTATCTCGAAGATTGTTCAGAATCTGCAAAGAAAACAATGCAAAGGTGCTCTTTTGGTCGGACATACGTGAACATCAGTCTTCTTCTACTCGGTATGTAAATTTTAAAATGGAGCGGATTAGGGGAGTTTTACTTAACGATTTGGTAACATACTCTATTGTTAGAACGCCTGGAATGTTTATATTCAGTTAGTGAACATGTCGCTGTCCCAATTCTGTCCCAAGATCTGCACGCCCTTGTTCTCTTAACAGTAAAACAATTCTTTATTCTATCAAAATTAGCTGGATGTTTTGTGTGCGCTTTGTGCCATTAAACAAGGAGGCGGCTGTGAGAGCATGCTGCAAAGTCGCGTGAGCTTCGGAAATTCCGTTGCTCGTCTCTTCGGCTCCCCGACGTTATTTGGATCTAGTGCCAAGCGAATCAAATATTTTCCTGTTTTAGGGTTGGTTGAAGAGCGTTTAGTGTACAGTCGGTAGCTCTGATAGAACGTAGGATTGCTATCAGTGCTAGTCGGAATAAAATTCTTACTGTAGCTTACGAAACAAAAAGTCACACTCTGAGCAAACTTCTACAACGGCGTAGAGATATAACAATCATAACTTCAGTGTGTCGCGTCAATCAGGTGCGATTGTCAGAAATCTTGTCATCAGCACAGGATTGAAATGTGATTCCTAAGATACCACTCTTTCTCCGTTCATAGGGCTGGCAAGTGTTGCACTTCTCGTTAAAGGTAAGTTAAGTCGAGTCTTACCTATGTTTAGATATCGTTGGGAATGTTGCCATGTTAAAAGCCACGCTAGCTAAGGCTCTGGGAGTGGCAAGATTTGGCTGTGTTGTCGTTACTCATGATCAAAATGTTCTGCCGCCAATCTAACAACCCCCTCTCCTTGACTGAGAAGGTAAACCGGCGGGATTAAAAATGTAAATATTTCGTTTAAATTTTGTATTTTTGAAATATAAATCGAACGAATTTACTTGAGGAATGAGCTTTCTGTTGAGCTGGATCGAAAGGACGATCATGATCAGTGAACTGTGAACGTATTCTTTTGAGCATCGAGGGTTAAGCTTTTCATCGGCGTTTACTAGTTGAATGAATAATTTGGTGAGATGACTTGGTGGATGACTGTGCTGGATTATGACAGTATTACTTTTAGTTCTTAAGGTAACATTTTTGAATCTGTATCTTCCTTTGGGATTAAACCTTTAGCAGGTTGGTTTGAAAAACGACTGCGGTTAGCTGTCGATGTTCTTTTGAGCCCTGAGAGTGAAGTGGGTTCACTTTTGTTTTTGCGAGGGATGGATCCTTCGGTGTTATGGATGGATAACTTGAATAACTTGTGAGCGTCGTTTTGAACGACGAGGATGAAGATTTTTCACTTTCGTGTTGGTTGAATCCTTCGGTTAAAAGGTTCGAAGGACGTGTTCAGTTAATTGTGAGAGTTCTTTTGAGCACTAGCAGTGAGCTGTTTTGATTATTGTTTCGTGTGGGATGAATCCTTCGGTTTGAGGGTTCAGTGGGCGACTTCATGGAATTGTGCGTGTTGTTCAGTAAACTACGAGGGCCTTTCACTTGTGTATGCTTTTGTGTTGGTTTAACCCTTTAGCTAAATGGTTTAAAGGACTACTGCAGTTGATTTTGTAGGCATCGAAGGTGCAATTTTTTCTTCCTTGTTTGTCAGAGTGATGAATTATGTGTTGGGATGGTTTGAAGGACAACTTCATTGGATTGTGGATGTTGATTTAAAAAACGGGGATAAAGATTTTTTATTCAGTCCTGTTGGTTGAACCTTTTTACTGAATTGTTCGTAGGATGACTGCAGTTATAATTTTGGTAGTTCTTGTCAGCACTGAGGGTGAAGTATTTTCACCTTGTATTTAGGATAAATCCTCTGGTAATATGGTTCGATGGACAACCTCAGCGAATTACGAGTGTCGTTTTGAGCAACGAGAGTGAATATTTTTCACTTGCACTTTCTCTTGGGTTTCAAATCCTTGAGCCAAATGGTTTGAAAGACGACGACAGTTGAGCGTGAGAGTTCTCGAAGCGGTTAGGGGCGAATTGTTTTCTCCTTTGCTTTTCCGTAGCCGGATGAATTCTTGGGTGGAGTAGCTCATTGAACAGTGTTTTGTCTGGGGCGTTTGACAAATATTTTTTGCGACTTGCTAGTGAATTTGAATTTTACATATTTAAGTTGTTCTTAGAGAAGAGAAGTTCTAGGTAGAAAACACCATCTTTGAGCTTCATTTCCTATTCTGTTTGACGTCTTGCCGAACGTCCTTTTAGCCAATTATTTATTAAAATGTTAGATAAAGATTTCAATAGGCATGCAAAACGTTGTAAAATTACAAGTTTTGAAATTGTTATCTTTTTCGCTCTTGACATGTGCTCTAAACCTATATTTTGCTTAAAAAGGTTGCTCAGAAAGACAAAACTTGCTCGCAGTTGCTTGAACCGCGAAATGTTGCTCCAAACGCCAAAAGATACTTAAAAGTTGCCAAGCACAATCATGCAGGACAGGCCTAATATCGACTCCTTAAGCGAATTCTCTGAATAGCCATTTTGCGTGATATTGCTTTTACCCTCTGCACCCTAACGTTAATGATCGCATTCTCTTCACTGTTCTCTTCTCATTTTCTATGGCAATGACAAGGAGAACTTGTTTGACAATTAGGAGCTTTTTAAATTAGAAAGAATTTCCTTCATCCTTAAGCCGTTTAAATTTGATTTAAGGGTGATATTGTAAGGGTTTAAAGGTCCTTAGTCTTTGTATTATTTATTTGCAGGCGAAAAGAGTGATACACCACCTACTATGCGAAGAAATAGTTTGAACCCAGGTCTCCATCCGTCTAGGGCTACAGGACCGCCAACAGCACCTACTGTCTCGGCTGCACGAGGACAGGTCACCCTACTCAAACAGATACTTGGGATTGTGATGCCAGTGTCCTTTTTCGTTGGCATTGCGGTTGGAATAATCATTTTAGATTGGAAACGACGCCTTTGTCCTTCAAGAGTGGCTGCGTCTTTTGACAACTCGCCGAGTTCAAACAGTAACGATTTTGAAACTCATCAAGTTACTGAGTCCTCTTGTATCTCTCACCCCCTCTAGGGTTGAGTTGGATGGGAGGGGAGAGTAGAAAACCATTTTACTGTCATTTGCGCGAGAAGTGATGGTCTATTTGAGATGTGATCCAACTTGGATGAAATCGAGACAGCCATAAACAGGATGGACGCTTTTGATCAGATGAAGAAGAAGAAGAAGGAGGAAGAGGAGAAGAGGACGATAGAAGAAAATTAATTTAATTAAAAGTTCATATAATAATGTGTAACCTTTTGTATCGTATCACATATTGATGGACTTAAAACTAAACTTATAACTATATTCACAAAGGAGCTTACACGTGTTTTAAAGCTGTTTCGTTAAACAAGGAGTTTGAATCTTGTTTATTAAATCAGCTTTCTTACATTGACTTTAAGGAGAACTGTGATCAAGCAGTTGTAAAAATGCATACAGAATATTGCCGATTTTAATCAACGCAATTTCCCGGCAAAAGAAAATGTTTATTGTCTCACGACAAGGTAAAACGCAAAAATTTTCAACGTCGACTAATAGAGCCTGCATGTGAACCAAGAATCTATTTCAGCCGAGCTCATTCGGGTCTTTAACAAGAAACGACGAACAGTACTCCCAATAGTCAAAATGTTAGTCCTGCTGATTATTTCAATAAATTCATCGTCTTGTCTCCTCTCTTGTTTCACGCGATATGTGTGTCGATAATAAATAAATTGGTGTCGCAAGTATTTTTCTTTACCTAGTTGTCGAAAAAGTTCAGATTGGGAAAATTGGATAAGAGACAGACGTGAGAGCGAAAAAGCAAACGCAGCGCGGGTCACCAAGTTTGCGCATGAAAATTTAAAGTAACACAAGTTAGAAAGGTTAAATTATTTCACTCTTAGAATGATAACTTTTTTATTAGCCGAGTTGGAGGCCCATGATTTTTGTCACAGACTGAGCTATTTGTTTTAAAATAATAGAGGGAAGAGCAGTACAAGTCAATTACCGAACGAAGCGGGAGAACGAGGTCAACACTTTGACCCTTAGAGTGACTAGAATCTAAGGACACAGTAGGACCACGGAAATGAAAGACAACTTGAAAGACAAAACCGTGACAAGAATGAAGGCAAATTCGAAATCATTGCAGTTGTTCTGCCGTTGGCACGTTTTAACACGGTATCTCATTTCTCAGGAAGGTTGATAACAATTGCTGTTGATTAAATGGGACATTTGGTGATAAAAGAAGTGTTTGAATCTCACAGGTTTCCCCGCACAGAACGGCCCGCTGAATCAGTTAGGCGCGTGTACTAATCTCAATTCAAATTCTAACTATACCCGTTTGTTCTGTCATCAGAGAGTATTCGTTTACAAGATGTGCTCTGCAAAACAACAATATAAGGGGTTCAAATTAAAAGTTGTGTGAGGACGGGAACAATGACGGCAAATTATTCACGTTTCTATTTGGAATTCAACACTGCCTTCACGCGTTATGCTGAAGAGGAGAACTGGCGCCCTTAGAGAAGGTAAAAATATCAAAGCATTCGGGTAATTCCTAAAAAAGAATATTAATTTTATGTTACAGTCAACGTTTTAAGTGGTATCACAGCTGTGTTTGCTTTAGTTCTCCTATGTTGAGAATAGAAGCGCAAACGAGTGCAGTATGCGTGAAATATGCTTCATACATTTTTGGAAGCCTGCCATATAACCTTTTTTCCTAAGTATTTCACCATCAGAAAATCGAACATTCCGTTGGAAAACACTAGATTCTATTCTTGACCATCAGATTCCATCGCACTCCGGTGGAAGAATAACCATATGTGGAAAACATATTATCAGTCAATTGACTACCGGTGTATTTAGTCCTTAGCACTTGAACTGTTATATTTCTAATTTTAGCGATCAGTTTTCTGGTGGAAAGTTAAGTTTATTCTAACCGTGTGTATTGGAAAACTGTCAAGTAATTTAGGGCTATAAGATCGAGCATAGCTAAGGTTTCCTACCAGAAATGATTTGTATTTTGAGATCGCAATGAGTCTGTAGTCTTTTTTCTATACATAATTGAAACTAGATTTTTCAAAGGTGTTACAAATCGCTAATGTATGGCTCGCACCCCAGTTTTGAGAGGTCATTTTCTATACTTAGAAATCAGTCAGTCACGGAAAACACGATTCCGCGTTTAACAGGAAGTTATACCGAGCATATTTGTATCTTTCGAGCCCTAAATGTGTCACCATCACAATACTGCTAGATGATGACGAAGTTAAAGGAAAATTTTCAGTTTCGCTTTCATCTCAAAGCTTAAAGGCAAGTTTAACTCGCACGCACCGTATTCTTAATCACTATTGATCTCAATACTTCTAATACAAATTGCCTGTGAAAGAATGCGGTGGCGCACCAAGGCGCAGTCTTACGGCACCGCTGATGTATTATTTGGTAAGTCAGTCTTTTAGCTTGTTTATTTTATCCATGAAGACACGCAAATACACGTTTGAAGTCTTTACGAAGTGAATTAGACAGTGGAGGGTTCCCCTTAAATTGGGTGCTATCGCTGGCGTAAGCGACGGATGACACTGCTATCAAATTTCATTTTTGTGCTCAAGATCCATGAAACGAGCTAGAGATAAATCAATTCGGACGTGACCACACTAAGTTCGACTACAAACTAAGCTGTTCTTTATTGTATTGACCCAGAACATTGTTGATGTTAAAAAGTGTCCCCAAGTATTTGAGTTCATTGTCGTGTTAGACTACAGCTTTACATTTCTTTTACCCTTATTTGCACTTCTCATCAAAACGTGAGCCGTTCTTAACTGACTCAAAGCCTGGGGGTGTTCTCATTAGGTTCTTAAAACTTTGATTAATCTAAGCCTGAACGTTCTTAGAAAAAGGCTCCTTATAAAGACAGCTTAAAGGTTGGTTGGTTGTCGTAATAAATTGGATTTTTTCTTTTTGCTTTTGCTAATGCAGCTACGGAAACATCCTTATAAACTAGCTATCACTACGAACTTTCTCAGTCATGCTTCATAACTCAGAGGCTATGCATACCCCAGCTGATTTGCAAATTTCAGACTTCGTTGTCATAATTCATTAATTTTCATGTTCTGAATTGACCCATTTCTAGGTATGGCGTTCATCAGTGCACTTCTACATGAATCCATCCGTACTAATGGTGAGCCTTGTTTATTTAAATTATTTTCGCTTATACTTTAAATGACCCACTTCCGCTTTAAAACTATCCGCTTTCTATTACTTCTAATGGATGTTCCGTGTTAGATCACAGCCGACTTCTAATTGCAAAGATCTCCTTAAATTTCATAAACAAGGGGTTTTCCCTTCAATTTCGTCGGATATTGTACCAGAGCAATGGCTCTAAACAATTAAAGGTCGGAGTACATGCCACGTAACGCCTTCACTAACGATCGGGTGTAATGCCTGACTTGCGAACTTGCTAAGTATGATCAACTCTCTCTCGATCGACCACCCTTATCGTAGAAAAAAGGAAAAAAAGAAAAATCAAAACAAAACCAGCGAGCCGCAGACTGATAAATTCCGCAGATCATCACATCATCATATCTTATTAGTCAAATTGATGCAAATAAACAAAATCAAAGTCCCTCTGAAAAACCTTATCCCAAGTGAGCTGAAACTCTTCAGAACGGCGCCTAGTGCCATTCATTCTTGTTTTTTTTACTAATATTATTTTGTGACAATAATGTTTGCTATTCGACATATGTTCCTCATTAAGCCTTAAAATCATTCTATCAATAAACACTTCTAATCACATTGTCAGACGGTTGGCCGTTGGGATGTTGCATATTAAATTTCTTTTAAGCGGCGCAAAGATTTAACCCCATCTTGTGGATGGTCACTCATCGGTGACACGAAAACAAAATAATTATTTCAAATTTCTGTTCACTAAAGCGGGTGCGGACGCTCAAAATACTTAAATAGTGGTCGCTTAAGAAAGAGGTTTTGGAACAGTATCTGACTGACAAACAAAGGGATCACAAAGTGGTCGCTTAAGAGAAGAAGTCGATGACGCAAGTGGTCATTAAATATAATTGGTCGTATTCAATCTTCATCTCTATCATGATAATCTCTTATCAGCATTAACCCTCTTAACCCCCAAGATATAACTCTAACTCCTGAATCAAACATTAAGGTCACGAAAATAAAGGAAACAGTCATCAACTAAAGTAGCTCTTGATTGTTAAACAACTTCTCCTTCAGAAACTTGAAAATATATCGGGAACAGTATGGAGAGGGTGTAGAGGGTAAATCGAAACCTTGAAAATTGCATTATTTATCGCTATTGTACCTGAGACTGTGGCAAATAAACGAGGTCAATTTTCTTTATCCTCTTCGCTTTGGAACGTTTTTTTAAAACTGATATAATTTCTGTTACCTTCAGGAACTGAAACAAAGGAGTTTTGTTATGATACTCCTTTCAACGTAACCTGCGAGATTCTTAAAGGGGCATATGGAACAGTTGACTTTGTCCAATGGAAAGCATATGACCAGAGAAGGAATCATTGGGATTTGTTCGGATACTGTAACAGGGAAATGAGGTGTGAAATTAAGAGAGCACTGTTATCTAATGGAATCCAAGTTTTACAAGTCGTGAAAGCCACCATAACTCTACAAGTATCATCAAAGACCAGTACAGACAATCAGAGCCGATTACGCTGTAGAGTTGATTTCGAGGGTCACACGCCCCTACCCCACGAAGTGACAATCAACTTTGTTTATTGTAAGTTGAACGCCTGTGATTTTATGCTTTTGAGATAACAAGGCAGCGTACCATGTAACAACACTAAAGATATATGTGTATATATCTAAAACATCATCGTAAGGATCGGTCAATATTTACGAAGGGGGGAGAGGATGGGG